GCCATATAACCATTCAAATTTATCAGATTCTTAATGAAAAGAGCTAATGATTGAAAAGAAATCATGTTAAACACCAAACATTAGGTACTTCAGCTAGTAGAATAATTCCACTAGCATTCATCTTGCAAACAAATTAGCAGAGAGAATCCAATCAAAATTCGTAGGGATTTGAAAAAAAAAAGATAACAAATAAAAACACATGCTATTAAATATGAATCATTGAACTCGTAATCTAGTTGTATGATTCTCCATTCAAGTATGAGAGGTACTAAGTTCGACTCCCTAAATGCACCAAACCCTTTCATTTTTCCATTTCCAAAAATTGCAACTGGAAATAATTGATCATCATAAACCAGCTTCAAGTCAATTTTATATTAAGAGTATACTGATACAGAAATGCATGTGCGGGTGTGTCGGTGGGACTCTTTCTCTGTCATGATATACAAAATTTTAGAGTTAGCTTAACCCTAGGCTAGAAGCGGTTGGAAAAATCATAGAATGCTCATGAAAAGTAATTTGCAACTGGAAATAATTGATCCATAATGCAGAATTTCCCTTAGGGTGCAAGAGGTCCTGAGTTATATGATTACAGAACTGTGCAATGAGTCAACTTCGAAAGTAGAACAGTATAGAAGCTTAACTCGAGATAAGTTTGTTTTCTAACAAGATTCCTTCTCGGTGTGAAAAAATAAATAAATTGTGCTATTTTCCAAAAGTTAATTTTTGTGCCTCTAATCTTATAGTCATCGAGATGGGCTTGTTTTCTAACAAGATCCCCAACAACAAAACGAACTTCCAGGCTATACTATTTGGGGCTTGCAATCATATGATCACAATATCCACTCCCTTTACCTTGTTCTGAAGGTAGGGCTCAATCCTCCATCTTTATGCAAAAAAGACTTTGCTATTCAGTTTGCAACGCAGAGTCCCCAAAAGAGAAGGTTCCAGGGGCACAACGTTGATTGAGCTAGTCAATAATTGCCTAATTGTCCAACAAGTTCTTCCTTACAACATTCTTGTACAACATTCAACTCGCCAACAACTAAGCTTATAGCCATATAAACATCCAAATTTATCATATCTTGAAGAAAAGAGGCAATGACTGAACCTCAAACATTGGGTATTTCAGCAAGTGGTATAATTCCACTAGCAATCAACTTGCAAACAAGTTAGTGGAGAGAATCCAATCAAAATTTACAGTGTATTAAACATCAATATTTATCATATTCTTGAAGAAAAAAGCTAATGACGGAAAAGAGATCATGTTAAACATCAAACGTTGGGCATTTCAGCTACTAGTATAATTCCAGTAACATTCAACTTGCAAAAAAGTTAGCGGACAGAATCCAATCCAAATTTACAGGTGTATTAAACATCAATAGTTGAACATGTAATCTAGTTGTATGACTCTCCCTTCCGGTATGAGAGGTACTGTTGTGTTTTAAGTTTTTTTTTTTAGGGTTTCTTAGAATGATAGATTGAGAAAAAGAAAAGAGAATAGGGATTTAGCGAAAGATTCACTTCATTCAATACGAAAAAACCCTGAGGATTGGGTACAAGTTTTATATATCTACGTTGTACATTTCATCACAGCTGTACAATAGTACTAATTCCCTTCTAACGGTTACGCTGACTCATGCTGGTAATTGGGCTGTTCAGCTGTCCATCCGATGGGTTCTCAAGCTGTTGTGGAGTGGGCCTCTCCTCTAATACATTTCCTTTAGTTGGGCCTGTGTATAGTGGACCGGTTCTGTTTAGCTGCTTCCCTGGACCCGGTTCTTTCCTTATACCTCCCTCCCTCGATTCAAGCATTTCCCCATTCAATTCCCAATTCTGCTCAATCCCTAATTCTCCACTTCCAATTCCCAATTCCTCTTCCACAAGCCCTAATTCTTCAATTCCCAATTTATCTCCCATGAACCCTAACTCATCTCCCTCCATGACAAGTACTAAGTTCAATTCCCTAAATGCACCAAACCCTTTCTTTCTTTCTTTCTTTCTTTCTTTCTTTTTTCCATTTCCAAAAATTGCAACTGGAAATAATTGATCATTTCAAGTCAACTTTAAATTAAGTATAGCGATACAGAAATTCATGCGTGGGCGGGTAGGTGGGACTCTTTTTCTACCATAATATACAAAATCTAAGAGTTAGCTTACCCTAGGCTAGGCTCGAAGGGTTGGAAAAAATCAAAGAACTCTCGTGAAAGAATAAAACACACACACATATATATATATATATATATATTGAGAATCATCAGTTGAGAAACATTCACTCACCTTGAACAACAATCACCAAAAATTAGTAAACAGTATAATACAACAAATAATAGAGGAAGTCATCAAACTCCATAGCAGCAACTCATAAACGGTTATTGTTTAGTTTCCAAGGGTTTTCAACGACAAGGAAAGGGTGTCAAGTGGAAAGAAGGAAGACCAAGTCACTACTCAATTCTCAAAATGGAGTCGCCAACACAAATCAGTCGGGTTTCTGTTTAGTCTTTTAGTGTGCGTTTAATTCACAGAAGGTAAAATTATCATTGAGAATAAAAGATTATCAGATAATAGTATTACTAAAAATGTTGTATTTTGTATTTAGTTGGTTTAGCATGAATATAAGATTATCGTATTTAGTTAAAGGAATAAAAGATTATTGGAATATATATTTGACCAAATTGTCCTTATTATATATTTGTATAATATTACAAGTTGAAAAATATTTATATATTTTCTTTAAAAAAAATTAATTCATAAAATTTATATAATTTTTTTTACAAAATTAAAAATATAAAAAAAAGTTTAATAAAAGAGAAAATAACCTCATTGACCAAAAATACCTTATAATATATAATTTTAACCAACTTTTTTTGGATTTGCCAAAATGAGCAACTAAATCGCAATGCGATCGATAATTCGCAACGCGATCTCCGGTATCGCAAATCAGTTTCCAGATTCGCAACGCGAACTTCGACTATCGCAATGCGAACTTGGACTATCGCAATGTGAATATGTAAATCGCATTGCGATAGTCGACTATCGCATTGCGATAGTCCAAGTTCGCGTTGCGATTTATTCCAAATTCGTTGCGATAGTCCAAAATCGCAACGACTGGTGGTATTGCATTTGTTTCTTAAGAATTTTCTCTAAAAAGATAGTATTCGCGCGGACGTGTCGAAGACACGTATTACCACGACCACGACCACGACCCGAGACGAGACGAGATGGACGACGGCGGCGGCGGCGCACGAGAGTCCCCCTTGTTCTCTATCACTCAACAAGGAAGTGGGAAAACCAAGCCTTAAATACCATTCCCAATAGTGTTTCCAATACTATGTGGGATTGAGCATTACCAACACTTGTTTCCAATACAATGTGATTATTCAGGAAACAATTAACAATCATGCACCTTAAAACAACTGAATCAGCAACCAATTGCATTAGTATTATACGATTAAATATGTCATAATTAAAAGTCAATCTACAATCAATCGCGATTATTGCAATTTTAAGCAAAACATTCAAAAATAATATCACTATTTAAGGCTCAATCCCACATAGTATTGGGAACAAGTGTTGGTAATGCTCAATCCCACATAGTATTGAAAACACTATTGGTAATGGTATTTAAGGCTTGGCTTTCCCACTTCCTTGTTGAGTGATAGAGAACAAGGGGGACTCTCGCGCGTCGCCGCCGCCGCCGCCCGTCTCGGGTCGGGGTCGGGGTCGTGGTCGTGGTCGTGGTCGTGGTCGTGGTCGTGGTAATACGTGTCTTCGACACGTCCGCGCGAATACTATCTTTTTAGAGAAAATTCTTAAGAAACAAATGTAATACCGTCGTTGCGATTTTGGACTATCGCAACGTGAACTTGGACTATCGCAATGCGAATATGTAAATCGCAACGCGAACTTGGACTATCGCAATGCGAATATGTAAATCGCAATGCGATAGTCGAAGTTCGCGTTGCGAATCTGGAAACTGATTTGCGATACCGGAGATCGCGTTGCGAATTATCGATCGCATTGCGATTTAGTTGGTCATTTTGGCAAATCCAAAAAAAGTTGGTTAAAATCGTATATTATAAGGCATTTTTGGTCACTGAGGTTATTTTCTCTTAATAAAAAGGTAAAATTTTATTTTAACTCCTGAAATTCATATAAAAGTTTAATTATAGATTTTTTTTGTAAATCTAAAATAGTTTCAGGATAAATTTGTAATTTAACATTCATAGAATTTTTAATATTCAATGACAGAAGAATGATATTTTTGGAAAAAAAATTAAGGGCATTTTAGTCTAAAACGCTGGTAATCTTACAATACCTAAGGGAATGAAGGTAATGACATTCTCGGTAATATATCACAAAAAATTCACTATTGGTAATAAAATATTACCGGGAATGACATTCCCAACCAAACCAAACGGGAAAATGTGGATTTCATTCTCGGGGGAATCTCACATTCCCCCATCCAAACGCCCCCTTAGGATCAAAATAATTTAATAAGATATTAAAAAACATTCCTTTCACCCATCGGAGTTGTTAAAGTGGTAAACAATTTAATAGCGTTTAAACAAGTTCTTAAGTTCAAATCTTTATATATAATAGTATAAATATTGCGTATATAAAAAATATCAACTATATCGAATGCACCTGGAATAAAACGTAAATGCATAATCAATATTATAATTTCATATCTCCAAAAATAACGAATGGCAAGTAGAAGTATAAAAAGAAAACCGTTGATACTTCGAATGTCAAGTCCAAAGCCTATTATCCAGTAGTTTCTGAAAAAAAAAATTAAGAAGAATGAACTAGAAAGTTCAGTGTGTTCCTTAAAGTAAAATTATGCATATATTAAAGACAAAAATAAATGTTTAAACTTTACATCAAAAAACGATTTGATGCATAAAGATTTTTTCGTTAAAAATTGGTGTCTAACGTTTTCTCAGTTACACTTTTAGTTGCCATCGATATAAATTTGAGGCTAACAGGATTGATTTTCTTTTATGCCTTATCAGATTGAAAGGAAAGATTCTCCAGCTATTCTTTCTGCTGCGATATCTGCTTGGACCTTTCTTCTTTCTACTATTGATGGATGGAGACTGAGTCACAAAACTTGGAAAGGGTGAGTCTTTTAATTAAAAAGTTTACATTGTTTGGATGTAGTTTGATGGTTTAATGAAAGAGTTGCTCATTTTAAATTTTCCTAAACGTGCTTTCTCCCTTGGGTGTATTGTATATTTTTTTTGCAGTCTTAACAAAATTCTCCTTTTATCGCGTTAAAAGTGTAATTCCGGTGCAGGCCAATTTCATACTTCTCAGACCTACTGGACAACAATGATAAATTAGTATGTACAGCAGCTTGTGAGGCCCTGGCTTTAATATTCGAAACCAACTGTCTAGAGAAATTTTCAACTGAAACCAAGGATTCTCGTCATGAAGGTGATACATCTAGCAGAATACATTCAAACAAGGAACTGAAGGACAATATTATAAAGCAGCTCAGAAGCAGGATTGAAACAAGCAATGAAAGTATTCCTAGTCAAGATCCAAATACAGGGTTCAGTTCTGCCTCAGATGCTTTAAATTTTCTATATGTACTGGTTTTCTTTGTTTTATGCACATATTTAATTCATTGTATCATAAGCTGTTACAATAATGTTGATAACTTTCAGGATGGGAAATGTCTAAATACCCATGTGACAATAGGTGGGCAGAAACTCACTTTCTCAACATGGTCTCAGGTGATACAGGTAATTTAATTTCTTCACATCTCTTTGATAATTGGTTTAATAATTCATTTTGTGTTGAGAAGAGGCTAAACTTATTCCTGCTTCTGAGTGCAACTAAAGTTCATGAAGAATTTTCTAGGGAAAGATGGATTTAGCAAGCATATGATGGTAGGGTTAATGATCTTAACTGGTTAATAGTTTTTATGCCTTTCACTTTTATCATTTAACATACTTATTCTATAATCAGGAAAATGAGAACTTCCATAACATCTTTGATTTTATCCTGAAAAAAAGGAACCACTCAGGCAAAACGCTATACGTACCAGAAAGAGAAGAGGTTACTTTACAAGTTTTCATTTTAATGGTTCATGCACCACCATGTCCATGTCTACTGCTTTTGCTTTAATATTCATCATTCTAATTTCGGTTTATTTTACATGTTTCTATTCGTTTTTTTTTCAGCCTACTGTTCCTGGGCACCAGGATTGCTCACTGCTACCATTCGTAAGCAGAGAAGAAAAGCACCTAGAAAAGGTGGCTTCTATTACTCTGTTGTATTTGCCTGTTAAAAGAAAATTCATGTCAATATAGACATGCAATGGATGAAAATGTTGAGTTGTGTACTTCGTTTTAAACAAATCTTTAACTCCCTTGTAGAAAAAGACCATGTCTCCCAATTCCTGCTTGAGCAAAGCAAGGACACAATTACTGAGAAAGCAGCGACAGTTATTGTCGAAGGTAACCTCATTTTGCTTTATGGCCACTTGATAAAAATCAGTCGCTATAAAGCTAGGCATAAAACATGATAGAACTGGATTACAAGAAAAGTTGTACAGATTAAAATCTTACAATATCAAGACAACCTATGATCATCAGTTCCATAGGAAATAATTAGATTTGTTTATTGATGAAACCTTAAATCTTTCAGTAAACAATAATCTTTGTCTTTTTAACTGCGTTTGAATATGGTTTTTATTTTGTATGCAGGAGAGATAGACTGATTACTTTGATTCTGTTGATGAATTCATGTAGTGTTGATGTAGTTTCTAACACCCACAGACCGATACTAGTGCCCTATCCGATCTGATGTGTCATACTAGGGCCACTGGAGCGACCCACCGTAAAAATTCCAGAAAATTTAACATTTTTGTTAAAACGTGTAAAATCATAAAATAATTTATAAACACAACGGTAAAATTTAACAATATTCAGAATAAAACATATTTCAGACTCGGATATAAAAACAAAATACAACCTACATGCCCCCTAAACACATGCACAGTACTCCGCAATCAACGTCGGTGGAACTCTATTACTGATGTCGATAGTTGCAATCGTTGAATCTTTTTAACCTGAAAAGGTGAGTAACAGAGTGAGCTTTGGAAAGCTCAGTAATGCAGAACTATCAGATGATGCTTAAGAACATGGATAACAGATAAGCATATGTTTCCTTATTGGTTCAGACATCTACAGACTTTTATGCTGAGCTGAGATCCGACTGATATCTCAGATAGTAAAAGACAGTAAGCTTTCAGTTCAGATGAAATGTTTCGAATGACTGGGTTCAGGAGATCAGAATAGGGTGTCTAATGTGTTTCCACTAAACCAGTGAAAATGTACAGATCTTTTTAAAACAATAGCAGTTTAAAATGTATTTTTCAAAAACCATAGTAAATCCCTCCAACCGAACGTCATATGCAACTCCCCATAACTGCATAACCTAAGAGATTACCTTGGGGCATGAGACCCTACCCAAGAAAGAATCTCGAGGTCAGTCATCAGTCATACCAGAGTCTCATGGTACCAAGTCTAAAAATAATTTCAGTCAGCAAACAGAGATATCAGAAATCATAGCAGAGATCATAACAGAAATCAGAGAAAACATCCATGTGATTAGGGAACATACTAGAGGTTCAGATATTATTTGGAGGTACTTGATAATCTTATCGGGAAGGGAAACATGAATCTTTAGTATATTGATAGAATGTCAGAAATTAGAATCACTATTGAAAGAGTTCATCAGCTGACGGAATCATCAATTATTCAGAACGTGATTTATCAATATCATAAAGTATTCGGACATTTTTCGAAGGCACTATATAATTAGACAGGTATTCAGAATCCTTTGCATCTGAGTTACTTGTGTTTTCAGATATGACATGAGTGATTCCATTATTCAGGAAATCAGAGGCATTTTGGGCATTAGGTTCTTAGTGATTTGAGTTGATAAGGGAGAAACGAAGATTCAGGGCATTTACGATTTGTATCGATCTATCAAAATATCGAGTTAACTCGAACCGTACATGTCTCATCAAAGATATCAGTCAACCGATCAAATCGTTGCGCTTCTAGAGTATTCACTTTTTAATACAGACAATTCTTGTCGAATTGATCATCTTCGGAATCATCGCGGAATGAATCTTAGGGATAGTACATCATGTAAGTTCGTCAGCGTTTCCAGGCTTATCCAAGTCACTCACTTAACCCTAGGTCATTAAGGGTACTTAGATCATTTAGTAGTCAAGTTTATCCCGGTCACTTCGGAGTTTCTAGAGTAATTCTATCGTTTCCAAAATTTGAATACATACAGTACTTCCATTTTGTTTAACTTGGTCATATAATATAGTCATATTGGTATACGAGGTTGATTTGTTCATTTCAGAGTTAAGGGTATTTAGTTATTCTAGAGCTTGAACGTGTTTCAAATCATATTACACTTCAGGGGCATTCCAACTAAATCAGGAATTTAATCGGTGATTCCAAGATTCAAGTGGATCATAATTTAAGTTCTTAAGTCGTCTCCATTATGATATTCATTCATATTCCTTTTTACTCTTTAAGGGTATTATCATCATTTCATTCAATTCTGTCAGTGTCATTACATCTGATAAATTAGGCTTGAAAGTATTATAGTTCCTTTAGAGTTCAGAGTACTTTGTTCATTTGATCACTGGAGGTTATTTCACTACTAGGGGATGTCTTGGTCCTTTTACAGTACAAAGGTATTTTCATAATTTTACCCTATAGTGCTATTTTTGGTAATTTCTTTCCAAATATTTCTAACATTTAACCTTTAACGAGATTAATCATAATTTACGCGTTTTGAGATTGATTGATTTATTGATTAAATCATTGAACTGAAATTTATTTCCGATTAGTCTACCAATTCCTTTTTCGAGCCGTTAGAGTCTTATACAATGTTCCGTCTTTAAATTCAATTTCCTTTTGAGTCCAAAGATAGTTAACTACCTTAATGGACCAATCATTTACATTCATGCATTTACCATTTATCAATGAGTCCCGAAAAGCATGCAAAAGGTAGTAAATTATTAACTCGGTTTTCATGCTCCACCGATCGAACATTTAATCTCCATTCGATCACTCTCGAACTTGAAATCAACATCCAAGAATTTCTCGGATACAAAGCAACCAAATTTACATCAGAAACTGAACTTAATTAAGAAACCAATTTGAATTAGAAGGGAAAACATTGAAAAACGGCTTACCGGGTGCGAATTTGGCAAAACGAACTTCGAATTCGGACTCAGAACGTCGTAAACCATAAAATAAGGTTTTTTTTGAAAATTTTAACTTTTTTGTCAAAGTCAACGGTCAGACCGGTTAAAATCAACGGTAAACGGGTTGACTCGATCAAAGTCAATGAGTTGACCTAATGAGTTGACCTAGTGAGTTGACTCAGTCGAGTTGTCTCAATGAATGGATCGGACCAGGCGAGTCGGGTAGGGTCGGATCAGGCTGGTCGAGCAGACCAGTCGGGTTGACCGGTTCGGGCCGGTCCAGAAGCTTACAAGGCAGGGGAAGAAGCCTACGCGCACTGTCGGTGCGTGCGGCGACGACAGAGGTCTGGTTGGTCGATTACTCCCTGTTCATATACTTGACAAAATCAAGCCAAAAACATCAAGAATCAGCCAAAAATCTACCGGAATTAAAAGAAGAGGTCTGAAACACTTACCCACATCGGCGGTCGGTGAAAACGATGACGGTGAACGACAACCCCAGTCGACTTTTGATCGGAATTGGCTGGGGATCTCGATGATGGGGGCGGTGAGGCACTATGGCCGACGGTTTAACTGGAATCGAAATAAAACTGAGGCGATAAGGGAGGTTTATCAACGGTGATTTTAACGTCGATTTACGACAAACGAAAACATTTCACGGTGCGATAAAGTTCAGGCTTTGGTCGTCGGCGGATGGAGAGTCAAATAGGGGTAATAGCACGTTATACGGTGGTCGAACGGCAAGGATTTTGATGTGGTGAAGACCGGCGGGGTTACGGTAAATAATTTGGGGATTTTTGGGTTTTAAGGATTTCACCGGGGAAGAATGTTTATTTATCCTTAACCAACAAAAATAGGTAAATTATGGATTGGATCCCTGAATTTCCAACACTTTCTAAAATTTTCTATAAGTTTCGAAAACTTATAATTTGACTCCTAATTTGGAGTGTTACATAGTTCATATATTGCAACCTTTTAAAATGATAATTTTAACATTGACAATTATTTTTCTCTTCTTTTTTTTATTTATCCATTCATGATTTGAATGACAAGAATTTTGTATTTGTTCGCATATCCCCAATAATAAAGAAATTTTAAAACTGATTCTTAGTTCTTAGTGTTTACGTAGAAACTAATCCCAAGTCTCTGCAAATATTTCTTTTTTTTATCCCAAGCAATGGCTTCTTTGTACATTTTACCCCAAAAAAAAAGGTTACTCAGAGTTATCCCATCCACCAAGCTATTAATACGGCCGTAAATGAGCTTAGTCGAACTCGAATATTATTGAGTTTGACTCAGTTCGAAAAATTTAAAGCTAAGTTTGACTCAAATAAAAAATTCACAAGTTTAAAATTTGTCAAGTTTCACTCTAACTCGAGATCAAAAATTGAACTTTGAAAAAGTTTGAATTTAAAATATTTTCAGAGTTAGTTTGATTGAGACTCAAATTCGAATTTGAATATGAACCTAATATATCAAAAGTCTTATATTGTATTAACATGTAAATATTAAATTATTAATAATTTAATTAAAAATAATAATTTAATTTAAAAATTAAAAGTTTAATGTTTTATTTAGATAATACTACCTTCAAAATTCAATTTTAATTTGTGGGAAGTTCTATCATGCGACAGTCTTAATATACGGTTAAGGAAAGACATTATCGGTTTTGTTATTTTTTTTTAACAAATTCGATAAAAAAAATTACCTAAAACATTATTATTTCTACCTAAAACATTAATATTTTTTAACATTTCCGGTAAAGTGCTCAATAATAATAAAACCGGTAGAAAAAATAATGTTTTAGGTAGCGCTTTACCGGATATGTTAACAAAACCGGTAAAACGTTCAAAAATAACAAAATCGATAGAAATAATAATATTTTAAATATTTTTTTACTGAATTTATTAAAAAAATAATAACAAAATCAATAACATCTTTCTTTAACTATATATTAAAATCATGAAACGTGAGATTTATATCTTTAATTTGTTGAAGTTTGAATTCATTTAATTTGAATATTAATCAAATTTTAATAAAATTTAATTCAAATAGCTCGTAATATGTAGAGCGACAGACAAGAGTCGATGAATTGTCACACTTACAGGCTCCATTTCCATGGTTGTCTCACTTGTACTGTCTGTGCTAGTCTATTAATTGACGGTCCATAGTGCTCCACTTGTTTGGACAAATTCAGACAGACAAGTCCTAAAATAATAATCACAATATTTTGACTTGCCTACATTAAAAATCATTCAAGATTTTACTTCTATCATCAAATTAAGATTTGATCAGTACTTGTATTACGATATTTTATTTTTGAGAAGAGTCAAATATAATTAAAGGGGATATGTGTCGTTAATCATCATTTAAATGAATGCTTATAGAAACTCAATTTTCCATAACAAATGAAACGAATAATGATCTATTAAAACACAAATCAAACTACCTTTACGGTTAAAGAAATGTTTATTGTCTTTAAAAGTTTTGAGTTTAAATATCAACTTCT